CAAAACCAACAAAACATCATCAAAACTCACAAAACACAAGAAAAAAATTTGGGCTATTTTTTGTGGGGATTTTCGGATTAGGACGAAAAACAACAAAATCAAGCTAGAAAACGAAGAGGGGGGCTCCGAAATCGTGATAAACCTTGCTCTAGATACCAAGAGGATGTAGGGTAGAGATCCTAATCACCCGATCTTTCATGAAAGGAGCGGATCCCGGAGAAAACACGAAGAACACGAGGAAGACCGGAAGGAAAACACAAGAGGAAATCACTAAACCGACACGAATAAGTCACACATGGGCTAGATCCTCAAGTACATAGGACGATACACGAATCCACGGACAACTAAGGACGATACACGGTAACCGGTTCTTCTCTGTGAGGAGGTCTTGATGGGGCCGCCCAAGAGGGGGTCTTGATGATCTTCTCCGCAAGGAGGTCTTGAATCCGCTTGGGGGATCTTCTCCGATGGAGGCTCGAATCTTCGAGGAGAAGGTAACCAAGTGGATGAGCAAAGCTCTATCACAAATATGGGCTAAACATTTGCTAACCCTAGCTAGGATGAATGGGGGGTCTATTTATAGTCTAAGTGCAAATGGGGGCGAAGTGAAGGGGTACATGGGCCTTGGGCCCGAACACTGTGCGCAGACAGGTACCGGACATCCGCTGGGGACCGGTCGTCCGGTGTCTCCGGAGCTGTCGGACATCCGGTGTCCTCCGGTCGTCCGCTGGTTCCGTTCTGTGATGGGGGTGCCGGACATCCGGAGGCTCCGGACTTCCGCTGATGTTGGCTCGGGTGCGGTCGCGCCGGTCGTCCGGTCTGGGCCGGACGTCCGCTCATTGGCCTCGGGTGCAGGGGCACCGGTCGTCCGGTCTGGACCGGACGTCCGCTCGCTGGGGCTCGGCTGACGCTTCAGGCGCCGGACGTCCGGTCGCGGCCGGTCGTCCGGTGGCTAGGACTTTTCCTTCAGCCCTCCTTCTTCTCGTCCATCTTCCTCTTCTTCTTGTCCTTGCTCCTTAGCTTCTCCATTGTACCTGAGTATGTACAAAGTATCCATATGAGGTAGTAGCCATGCTTCATGTGCATCGAAGTGGAATTGTGAGAGGAGAGATGTCACCTCGGTTTCAAGAGCTCTTGCACGTGATCGAGTCATGGGTCCACTAGGCACTTGATGAGACGATGGTAGGTCCATGGGGATGACCTTGGGATGCTCCGCATCAGCTAGTCTCAATTACAGAGTCGGTTACACAAATGGATGAACTAGTCTTGCGAGAGGCGAAAGGGGGAAGAGGTAGCCACCGAGTGTCGATTGCCTTTGATCCACCGAATGGGCCTCTCCTCGGTCCTCCCTGCCTTAAGTGGTAGACATTGGTGTCAGGATGGATTCATTCAACCACACGGGCCCACAGAAGCGTGAGTTGGCCTGACGTGCATGCTTGGGATCTATTGTGTCGTCAGGAGGTGGGCCCAACATGTCAGGGTAGCTGACAAGGCACATAGGTAAACTGGTGTAGTTTTGCAAACGATGTGCACCTGCGGTTTGCAAACCATGTGGAAGTATCATGTATTGTTGTCTCCCTCCAAAATGAAATGGGGGTCGGATCTTTTATACCACTTGATTTCCTCTTCTAGAAAAAGACGTCCAATCTTCTCATTGGATTGATGTTTTTCAATCAATCTCTTGAGGTGTCAAAAATGCGGGGCTCTGTGATTTTATCGAGATCATCAATAATCTTGGAAAGGTATTGCTTCTCTTTTTCATAAATACCACTAGTGTGTTTTGTCCATCCAAATTGGAATCACCTTCAGGCTATGATCTTAAAGTTCCATCGGGGTTTCGACCAACGACAGACTTCTCCCACGCACTCTAAGTCAGCAAAGCCCACCTAAGAGCATCTCCAGCCGTTCGCCCCCCCCCCCCGGACGCATAAAAATTGCCCCCTATGGGCGAGCCGGCGATACAATCGGCGCTGGGGGCGGTTTCACGCCCAGTCGTCGCCCCCAGCTCGCCCCCAGGCGCCGATATTGACCCACTTTTCATCCCCATTTCGGCGAATAAAGGGCCCATATGGGCGACAATAGGCCCATATTCAGCATGGTTCCCCGTTGTTCGGCGTTCAATTATGCACATAATTTCTTTATCACATATTTCATCACAAAAATATCAAATACTTAAACAAAATAGTACAACAACAAATAGTTCAATACAAATTATATAGTTCAACAAATAAAAACTCATATTTCATCACACGTCGCGCCCGGCGTTGCCCTTGAGCCTCCATAGATGCTCTATCAGATCTTGCTGCAATTGATGATGCATCTGTGGGTCTTGGATCTCCTGACGCATACTGAGATAGGCAGTCCAGGTTGCCGGTAGCTAGTGATCAACTTCGGCTAGAGGACCCTGCATGTAGTATGGTTCAGTGTCAAACACTGGGTCTTCTTGCTCGCTCTCGATGATCATGTTGTGCAAGATGACACAGCAAGTCATAATCTCCCATATTTGATCTTTCGACCAGGTTTGGGCGAGGTACCGGACAATAGCAAATCGAGATTGGAGCACACCAAATGCCCGCTCGACATCCTTCCTGCAAGCCTCCTGAACCTTCGCAAACCAGGCGTTCTTGCCTCCTGGCACAGGGTTTGAGATCGTCTTCACAAATGTCGACCATCTCGGATAGATGCCATCAGCTAGATAGTACCCCTTGTTGTAGTGCCGCCCATTGATCTCGATGTTCACCGGAGGAGAATGACCTTCAACAAGCTTGGCAAAGACAGGAGAGCACTGCAGCACGTTGATGTCATTGTGAGTTCCTGGCATACCAAAGAAGGAGTGCCAAATCCAGAGGTCATGTGTGGCCACCGCCTTAAGTACCACACTGCAACCGCCTTTGGCACCTTTGTACATCCCCTGCCAAGCAAATGGGCAATTCTTCCATTTCCAATGCATGCAGTCGATGCTTCCAAGCATCCCAGGAAATCCTCTTGCTGCATTCTGTGCTAGGATCCGAGCAGTGTCTTCCGCATTGGGTGTTCTCAAGTATTGCGGTCCAAACACAGCCACCACTGCCCGACAGAACTTGTAGAAACACTCTATGCTGGTGGACTCGGCCATGCGCCCATAGTCATCGATTGAATCACCGGGAGCTCCGTATGCAAGCATCCTCATCGCTGTCGTGTACTTCTGGATGGAGGTGAATCCAAGGGCGCCGGTGCAATCCATCTTGCACTTGAAGTAGTTGTCGAACTCCCGGATGGAATTCACAATCCTGAGAAAGAGCTTTCGGCTCATCCGATAACGGCGCCGAAATGTTTTCTTGCCGTGAAGTGGAGCATCGGCGAAGTAGTCGGAGTAGAGCATGCAGTAGCCTTTGAGACGATGTCGGTTCTTTGCTTTCACCCGCCCCGGCGCCGAGCCACCTCGCGCGCGGCTTTTCATTGCTCGCTAGCAGCTGGGCGAGGGCGGCGAGCACCATGAGATGCTCTTCTTCCTGGATGTCGGCCTCGGCTTCCTCCTCCAACAGTGTGGCGAGCGCTTCCTCGTCATCCGAGTCCATCGCTGAGGCAGGCAAATCGCCGAACACCTTGCGCCCGGTGGGCGTGTACCCGCCGCTAAACTGACCCTCCGCGGCCGGAAACGGCGGCCGGAAACGCCTAGCTTCTGTTGGAGGGGCTGCCGCGGCTAAGCTCCACTATTTTTCCGGCGTGGAATGGTTATCTAGTGGTGAAAGGCGGCGGGCGGAGCCGGGATATAGCTACTAGCGGCCGAGGGCGCGGGGGGTGGGAGGCGAGTCGGGGAAGAAAACCTTGACTTTTCCCCTGACGGCGTGGGCCAGTCGCGCTTTTCCCTTCCGCCGGAGCCCCCAACTGCCCCTCAGTGCGCCGGGTTTGGCTTGTGACCGCCGGGCGGAAAAAAGGACCGAACCGGCGTTTTTCGGCGTCCTGGGGCGCGACTGGAGCGTTTTTTTGGCGCCGACGCTGAAAAAGTGGCCTGAGGCACCGTGGGTTTTTTAGGCGTTTGAGTCAGACACATGTAACACGTGCCTATTACTTAAAGGCACCGTGGGCGGCAAAATTAGACTAGACAAATTTAGTAGGCTAGACACGAGATCGAGAAGGTCGGTCCAGGTACCAATGGCAAGGGGTGCCCTGAGTCCCTGACCAGCCATTGCGCTATGGTTGAGATGTGTCTAATGGCATCGGCAGGCTTGTCGTCGATTTAGTACATGGGAAGGTGTGCCTATGGTCATTCCCCGGGATGTAGCCATAGTAGCATTGTGTTCGAGAAATGTTCGACAATTCTTCAATTACTTAAAACAGTTAAGCTCTCACTTCAAAATTCAATAACTACTGATAATATTGAAAAAGAGAGGAAATTTCTCAAAAGTACAAACATACCTTAACTCCTGGAAGGGAGTTTGCCAAATAAATTTTGCTTGAAACTGTAAATCAAGAACTCCTGTTCTTAGCAGCAATGAGTAGTACGGTCAATGAATTTATCCACAGTCAATGTTGGTATTATCGTGACAACTCTACAAAAAATGCTTCTTTTTGTAACATTATGGAACTGCTACAACCCTAGCACACAATGGAATTAACCTAGAGGAAAACATGAAAGGCGCACATAGATGCAACACATACTTCGCCCAGCACGATTCAGTTAATGCAGCTACTTTCAGATTGAAATCCTTTGGATTTCAAGTCCTCCTTTAAAGTCTACAGCAGCAGCCACCAGTGGAAAATGATGGTGCGATGCACAAAAGCTAAATACAGTATTAACCTGCATATCAATATAGCCTACGGACACCAGCAGAGCTTCCTTCACGGCAGGAACCGAACAAGCACTACAGAGGTACGCTGGTTGCAATCCTTCATCAGATCCAAAATATGATAGGCTTACTTGCTCCGCTCTACTTTACTTGACCGACCTGGTATGCCTGCCAGTTGTCTGATTGCTAGCATTTCCATTAACAACTGAAGGTCTGAAGCAAAGTGACCAACTATCTGCCATCTGGTTCCTCAGTGATGGTTACGTCATTATTACTGCAGATAGTTACATCATTATGACTGTACAGAACACTACCCGATTCATCTTCCTTAGATACCCTTAGGTTGAAGTATGCCGGATGCTTAGGCTCTGGAAGAATAACACCCTCGCTGTTTAACATCGCAACGACATTTGACATGGTCGGTCGATCATCTGCATGCTCTTGTACGCACATTAGTGCAATGTTAATGTACCTCCTAGCCTCCGCTGCATGGATCTCCTTAGCAATTGATGCTTCTAGAAGCTCAAGAAATCTTCCTCCTTCCCAGAGCTGCCATGACTACAGAAAATTTATCATCACATACATGTCAAAAATTACTTCGGTATACAAACAATGTACATATGTGTGTGAGAGTTCACAAAATGCTCACATATCCAAGGAGGTTAAGAAAGTCTTCATGCTGATGGAAACCAGAATTCCTTTGTCCGCTAAGGATCTCGAGAAGTAAGACACCAAAGCTGAACACATCAGATTTGATCGAGTAAATGCCTTCAGATGCATACTCCGGAGCCATATAGCCACTGAAATGAGTTAGAAGCATAAGTAAAATACTATATCAAATTTTAAAGGTTGATGAATCAGCTGATTAATGCTATTTTAATTAATCGTGTTATATACTTACTATGTTCCCACCACCCTCTTTGTGCTTCCTTGAGTATCATTGGAGCTGAAAATTTTAGCTAGCCCAAAATCAGAAATTTTAGGATTCATGTCCTGGTCCAAGAGAATGTTGCTGGCCTTAAGGTCTCTGTGTATGATGCGCAACCGAGAGTGCTTGTGGAGATACAGTAGACCTTGGGCTATCCCTTCGATTATCACACATCTTTTATTCCAATCAACCAAAGTTGTTCTGCTAACATCTGCACATTAGAAAGTGCATTTTATAGTATGGACGAAACGCGATCCAAAATATGGTTGAACTACACTGTGCATACCAAAGATAAAGAAGTCCAAGCTCTTATTTGGCAAATATTCGTACACCAAAAGTTTTTCCTCTCCCTGAATGCAGCAACCCATGAGCTTGACCAGATTACTGTGTTGTAGTTTTGCAATAAGTTCAACTTCATTTTTGAATTCTGTGAAACCCTGTCTTGAATGTGAGGCAAGCCTTTTAACTGCAATTTCTATTCCATCTGGTAATTGGCCCTGTAAGCATGTAGAAAGCTGGAGGCATTATATTTTACTGAAATTACAGAAAATGGATTACATGCCATCCATGGGAAAAGGACTTTTGGGATATACAGCATCACATATCCAACGCATGGCCTTCATATTCTTTTTCAGTGCATTACACCTATTTCCTTCGGTGCTTCAGTCCACTGTCGTTTATCAAGAGTTGCATCTTAATTCTTTCTCTAGTTTAAGGCTAGGTAGCAGGTTACTTATGCTAATAATATTTGGTTGAGATACATTTATAAAACTGGATTTCGGGAGTATATGTTTATCAAGCAACTGTATGTTTTTTTTTCTCATTCTAGGGTGTCGATAATATTGAAAAGCGTGTGACTTCGCTTCACCATAGTTTGCTATTACTGGGATGAATGATATGATAACCATTGGAGATATTGGAACTTATATACATTATTTTCAAAGGTAGCTTTAAAACTAGGCACATCATATCACGATTCATTATAGATTCAGCTACTGTAATTAGCTCTACTGTAAATATATAAGGACTTTTTAGGCAATCGTGATTTAATATATATTTTAGAATGAACATATAATTGAATCTTTTCAAGACAACACATTTACCTTGTAGACAGGGCCAAAACCACCTTGCCCAAGTAGGTTTTCTTTCGAGAAGTTGTGTGTAGCACGCAAGATCTCAGAGAAGTCAAAGAGAGTGAACTCTGAACTCTTTTCTTCCAATCTCCAAACCAATGCGTCTTCTTCCGGCCTATTTGTGGCAGCTTGATCATGTACGATTTCTGTTCCTAAATTGAGAGGACAAACAAACATACAACCTTAAGGCTGAGTACATATATAAGTGGTAATTTTTTAGAGGAATGTTCTAATCCAAATAACAACAAACCTTTTCTTTGTCTTCTCATCCATACAACGAAAAAAATAACACACAGAAATATTGACAGTAATGGAGCTGCCACAGCAATAATCCAAAGCGCCCTCCGGTGTGAGTTGCGTCCTAAGAAAAACACGACTTCATATATAGTTTCATATAAATATAAAAACGAATCCTATATCCTATATACCTAAAAGAGTCACCCCCACTAACTTAATTATCTCAACATGCAAGCATGCCACATCACTATACAATTATGAATGTGATAAGGACCACCTCAACATGCAACAATGCATGGGAAAAGACCCACCACCACATGCAACCATGCATGAGAAAATATTTTTCATTCTATTATTCTACTTATATTCAATAAATATTGGAGGTAAAAATATATTTAATAAATATTTTACAACTTTACATACATATAATAAGTCGTATGTATTGTAAATTTTGGTTCACGTGTTATGAATATAAATATCTATATTCAATACAATCAAATCTCATTGAAATATATTGCAACCAATTTCCACAACAGCGCGCAGGGCATCATCTAGTTTATTTAGTGTTAGAGACAATGACAAATCAGTTGTAGGTCATGGATCATCTCACTCGACCACACTTTACCAATTGAACATGGGTCAGCCCCTCTTTGAATTTTGAACCATTCTGACTCTAGCATCTTTCCCCTTATCAATTAACATCATTTTCATTGTTATTGACTTAACATAGTTCTTGTACTTATTTGTTTTTATTAATCTATTTTTAAGCTCATGTCTGCTAGTCTAAAAATGCTACCATGTACTCCCTCCGTTTCTAAATACAAGACTATTTAGAGATTCCAATGCAGACCGCATACGGAGCAAAATGAGTGAATCTACACTTTAAAATAGGTTTATATACATCCGTATGTAGCGCCTATTGAAATCTCTAAAAAGTCTTATATCACGCAAGATGTGTGACATGTTGCCTAAATTAATGAATCTAACTGAAGCAGTGGTGCCATGTCCAACCATGGATCTGCCGGGAAGGACGAGAATTTACATACCATGAAGTTCTTGGGTGGTCGCTTGCGCCTCCGGAGGTGGTGGTGCCGCATCCGGTGAGTGCGGTTGCGACTGCGGGGGTGGGTACAATGTAACTGGCGGCATGGTATTGTTGGTCGGCGGAAGTTCAGATACCAAGCTGATAATACGCAGCATGGGGTCCCCTTGAAAGAACGGGTATATCTCGTACCTCATGCTACACCGTGTCCCCAGAAGTCGACCACCTTTCCTACCGTCCATGTACTTGAGTGTTATCTGGGAGTAAGGCTGGAAACAGGCCACACAGTCGTCAGCGGTCAGGTCGGGCGTGCACTGCATAAGGCAGTAGAGCGTCGGGAGGGAGCTGACATCCAAGCGCGAGGTGGTGAACCTCCTCGAGCTGTTCGCAGCCGATTGAGCTGTGTTGTTCAGAAGTGTGAACAACAAGAAGCTGAAGGAGTCAGCTCTTGTCGAGATGTTTATGAACATGTCGAGGCTCACAATGACGAGTATATTGTCATTGACGTTGGTGGCGAGAAAATTCTTGTTGGAGAACCTGAGCATGCAGGGATTGCTATTGTAGTACACGGTGGCATCCTTATTGCTCGTGCAGTGTTCCTGCCCGTCCTGGAAGGCGGTCACCAAGCATCCCTCGCAGGCAGAGGCATTGGAGTCCCCGCGGCAGAGAGCAAGGGCAAAGATGGTGTTTGGAACATTGCCGACTGTGTCGGTAGCGAAGAGGGTGGTGTTGGATGCTGCTTTCTTCGGGAGGGTGGAAGAGAGGAGCTTGAGGTTGGCTTCATAGGTGCTATTTGATTTGTAGTTGCCGCTCTCGCCGCATGCTGGCCACGTTTGGGCAGCGGTGAGAGGCACGAGGAGCAGGAGGAGGAGGGGGAGGATAACCATGGCCATACATGGATGACAAGGCAGATCCACGGCTGATAGGAACCTCATCGCCATGCAACTTGTAGAAACTGAGGAGCTCTCATAAAAATGGGAGAGAAAAAAGTATGTTAGAACAGGAAGATAATAAGTAACTAAAAAGGAAAAAAAATGTAGAGAACTGGAAAACACCACCGTACATCGAAGCTCCACCTCCCCGCGTTGTAGTGACACTGGATCATCAATAAATAATGGCACACCAACCTAAAGAACACAGAGGAGAAATGTCCATATGCTCAGAACTGCAAGGACAGCATGCTATTGCTGGCAAAAAGGTTAAGAAATGTCTCAGAATTTGGAACCTGTGGAGCTAGAAGAATTGTGCATGCTATTGCTGTCCTCTGTTTGCAGCACCGGGCGTCTATGTTCTAGATATGGTGATCATGTTCTAGAAATCACGCTGCAAAATTGAAGGCATGTAAGCATCAAAGAAGTGTGTGCTCGACAAATAATTAAGAGATCTAAATCTCAAAGTTCAGATGTCACAAGTAGCCATTCAGATATCAGGGATTAAGCTGGAAGTTAAGGAAGTCTACTCCCAAGTCAAAAACAGGGTTAAGCTGGGAGTTGAGGAAGTCTACTCCAAGTCAAAAACAGGGTTAAGCTGGGAGTTCAGAAAGTCTATTATATTCCAAGTCAAGAGAGGGTTAAGCTGGAAGTTTATGAAGTCTACTCCAAGTCAAAACACGCTTGGTATGTCTTCATTTTGATAGTTCAATTGGACAGGCAATCGAAAATTCTCAATTCAACATGTTGTTTAGCGTGAGCAAAATTCAGTGTCTTCTCTTCAAGCTGGATAACGAATCTAGCCCGGCAAAAAAAATAAAAAATCTAGGGGCTTACCACTGGATTATGGGGACTGCAGATAGGGGCTTGTGGGTTACCGATTGTCGACCACAAAGCTTTGCATTGCGAGAGAAACTGTCTTAAAACCATGGGGGAAAAGAGGTGATTTCGTACCGAGCTTAGCACTGGAAGTGGAAGCACGATTGCGTCGCCGGCGCGCGACCCCCGTTCTCCTCTCCGGCACGAAGCCGCCGGGCGCCGGCGCTCGCTCCGCTCCCCTGCTCGCTCGCCAATGTATCCCCGGTCCAGGCGGCGTGACCCGGAGATAAGTCGGCAGGGTGGGGAGTGGGGGAGGAGGAGCCACTCGATTTAGTGGAGGACGGCGGCGGAGTGGAGTGCACTTGTTTTCCAACTTGGGTGGAGTGGACGAGGAGGAGGAGAATGACTGGCTGGCCGACCGCGACCGAGTCCAAGTCCATCCCGTCCGTCTCTCTCCCGGTGCCGACCAGCTGCCTCTGTGGGCTCTCACATGGGCCTGCATCGACCGTCTCTGTGGGCTCACATGGGCCTGCGTCGACCATATGCCTGAAAAGTTCACAAATTGCAGCCTTAAGAGCATCTCCAGCCGTTCAGCCCTCCAGGGCGCCGAAAAAGAGCGGCCTGGGGCGAACCGGCGCTAGATCGGCCTCTGGGGCGGCCTAGCTCCCAGCCACGCCCCCAGACGCCCCTCAACCCGCTGCAAATTCAAACGTAGTCATTCCCGCTCACAAAATAGACGCCACAAATCCGATGATCATACGACCACAGTTCAGCGATCGAATGAAAAGTTTGGCGTTCAAAAAGAAAGGACACGCATCAGACTAAGGTCGGCCTCCGGCGTCGGCAGAGTCGGCGTGCGTGGGCTTGGCGGGGTCGGAGCTTCTTCTGTGTTGGGCGGCGTCGGTGTGGCTTCTGTGCTGGGCGGCGTCGGCGTGGCTTCTGTACTGCGGGGAGTCATGGAGGCATCATCGCTCGGGCTTGGCGGCGTCGGCGTGGGCATGGGAGTTGGCGGCGCCGTCGACGGCAGCTGGTTCAGGATGAGATCATGCTTCGCCAAGTACCACGCCTTGATCGCCTCGTCATTGCTCTGAAGTATGTCCGCCCCACCCAGCAGGAAAGCCAGGTCGGTGTTCCTCTTCTTTGCAGCGACGTTGGTCCGGAGTAGGTCGAGCTTGACGGCGCTGCTCGTCATCAACGCCGACCACCGCGCCTCGGTCTTCTCTTAAAGCAGGACGGCCCGGGTCTGTGCATCGGCGAGGCAATGCTCGATGGACTCTTGCACTCGCGCGGTAGCCGCGTCGGCGTGTTTCCCCTTCTTGGCCCCTTTGTTGCCATCCGACCGCCCCTCTGACGCGCCCGGCGTCGGCGCGTCCGGCTTGTAGGTCTCCTTGGCCTTGTCGAGGGTGCGCCGGATTTCCGCCCACTTCTTGCACTTGCCAATGCGCTTGTAAACGTGGAGGTACTTGAACTCTTGGTCGCGGTTGCCTAGGCGATACAAGGCGAACATGTGCACCAGCTACGCGGAGGAACAAACAGTTGGCGGGCGCGCACGGCGAATAGAAGCGGGAGACCGGCGTGCCGTACCTAATCCTCGACGTTGGCGCCGCTCTCCGGCCGAGCCGCGACCTCCTCGACGACCCCATGCCATTTGTTGCACGCCGCCTGGATGAGCCCCCAATGGTTCGCCATTGCCTTCGCCCCGCGCTGCATGTAGACGCCTTTAAAGTAGGGGTCGACGAGCTTGCGCTCGTCGAACTCGGCCTTGATGCGCCCCCAGTACATCTCGATGCTCTAGTTCGCGTTGGTGGTTGGGTCGAGGCAGATAACTTTTCACGCTTCGGTGAGGCATTCCTGTTCCTTGGACGTCCACTTGATGTGCGGCTCGCCGGCCCTGGTCGCCCCCTTCTTCTTCTTGCGCCTCCTCGCAGGAACAGTCGTCGGCTCCTCCTCCTCTTCCTCCTCCCCCTCCTCCTCGTGCTCCTCCGGCTCCTCCTCGCAGTACTCGAGCTCGCCGTCCATGTCGTCGCTGAGGTCCACCGTGTTGTCCTGGGTAGCGAACCCGGGGGATGCGGCGGCCGCGGCCGAGCCTGCCGCGATGATGTTGTCCATGTCGGTGTCGGTCTCGTCGGTGTCGCCGAGGTGCGACGTGGAAGCTTGTGAGAAGGGAAGCGCGCCACGACGGAGAGGGGGCATCGGGGAGCACGCGTAAGTCGACGGCGAGTAGTTGTATGGAGGGTACTGCACGCCGGCGAAGGCGGGCGAGAGCGTGCGCTGGGTCGGGTGTCCATGGGGAAGGTGACGTTGGGGTTGAACCCACCGTGCACGTCCCCGTCGGCGTAGCCCGGCGACGGCGTGCATCCCCATGGCTGCGGCGACGATGAGAAGCCGGACAGAGAGCGCAGACGCTTTGCTGGCTCCAGGGTACGTACTGGGCGTGGCTGCCTGGTGGATTCATCATCCCCAAGCGAGTCGCCTTGGCCTCGGCTTGGTCCGTCGCAGCCGCAGCGGCACGCGCCGCGTTGTCACGGGCCTTCTTGGCGATTGCCCTGTCCCGCCGGTCGGAGGTGACAGCCTCCCGTCGCTGAACTTCTGCCCTCCACTCGGCGTTTGTCATGCCTGGTGGCTTGGACAGCGACGCCTTCGGCTTCCTCTGCTTCGGCTGGGCGACGGAGGCGGTCGCGGTGGTTGCAGCGCGGGGGGTCACGTACTTCTTCGGCGGCATGGAGGCGGTTGGGAGACGAGCGGGAGGGAGATTGGCGGGAGGAAATGAGAGAATGAGAGGGAAGTGGGGGCGAGGGCGGGAAGAGGCTCTCGACTCGCCGACAGAGCAGCCCCACGCCCCTTTTCGCTTGTGCTGGCGCCCCCAGACACGCCCCAGCGCGCCGGGTTCGGCCTGGGTCCGCCGGCACCAGTTTCAACCCGAGTCGGCGAAAAACGGGCTACTATGGGCGTAACTGGGCCGAATTTTGGACGCCAGCGCGGCAAAAACATCTGAAAAGGGTTTGTTGGGGCCACGACTGAAGATGCTCTAAGCACTGCGTTCCTGGGCTGGCCAACGAGGGCGAGCCCTAAATAACATGGTTTGATTCTGTTTGACAGCAGACATGTTGTCCTTTGATTTCACCCGTTGACTGTTCACTTGACCATTGACCGTTACCATTTATAAAAATAATCAGTTTGAAAAAAGTTCATGAATTGAGAAGATTATATATTTAAAAGAATTATGATTTTGAGAAAAAGTTCACAAATTTGAAAGAGAATTCATAAAATATAAAGAAGTTTGTGCATTTTCAGAAAAAGATAAAACAAAGTAAAAAAACCCAGTTCAGACAACCAAGAAAATTATAAAAAAGGAAAAAATGGCTGAGAGCCCAAAACCGGCGGCCGAAGCACTCGAATACCTCTTAATGGGCCAGCCCATAGAGAAAAAGATCGAAGGGGAGGGTGTGCGTCGCGTAGGCGCATGAAGCGCCAAATGGGATTTGGTTGCGTGTAGCTCATTTAATAGTCTCGGCATGCCACATTGCTGAAAATGAAGTCGCTGTGCTAAGACTTTATAGGACTAATGCACCAGAATAGCAACCGTTGTCGATGAAGAGAAGCTTAGATCGGAAGGATCAAACCTGAAGACACATGATGAATAAAAACGAACGGATCCGAGCAGATCCACCAATGACAACCATCGGCCGAGTTCCCGCGAGATCCGCCGGAGACACACCTTCACACGCCCTCTGATGATGCTATACGCATCATTGAGATGGGGGCTAGACGGGAAAAACTTTATTCCATCTTCAAGAAGCTGCCGCTGTCTCGTCTTTCTGAGCAGGACACAAGCCCTAACGAAATTTGAAGAAGTAGCTAAAAATGGACCCCTCCCGTCGACAAAGGCCGGGATCCGCCGTGCACCCATGGCCCTAAGGCCACAGGAGATGTGGCAGGTCGGCGCCGCCACCGACGGGAGGCAGAAACCCTAGCCGCTTTTCTTTGGAGGAGAGATGAAGGGAACTAATGGGGTGTACTACTCACACTGAACGAGCATAGATGACATACATTAAAGAAAAAGACACATATGTGACATTTTTTTCCTAAACAAAAATATTTTCTGTCATGGAAGTGGCATTACCAGATGGTAAAACTGACGAAAACATGTATTATTATGAATGTGTTGGGCACCTACTTCTATAAAATTATTATTATGATAAAAAAATTAATTTCCGTCCTAAGAAGGCCGGCGGCACACCTATATGACTTCTTTGGGCTTTCCACGACGTAAAAAATCGTGGTAATTAAGTGAGGGCGAGATTTTTATGGTGATTTCAGCACTTTGCATGGTAGAAGGTGGGCGGTTGGCTCGAGGGAGATGCAGGAGTTTTGTGCAATCACTCTATGTGGGTGCGAGCCTTCACATAACTGAACTCGAGCGATCGATCGCACGTGGGCGGTAGTTGTAGGACCCTGATCAAGCGATTCTCATGTGCGGTACTTGCAGGCCCCTGTTGCATGAGCGAGACTTCACATTATAGAGAGAACCCGATTGTTCGACGACATGCGCGAGAGTCACTAGCTAGCTGCTGTGTGGTGCACGGTAGTTGGAGAAGCTGTATGCATATGTGCGAGTCGTTCTGATCAAGCAGGTTAGTAGGATGTCCCAATTGGCATACCAGACTCTCTATCTCGTTATTGATGTTGTGTGTACTTGGCGGTGGCGCATCCACGAAAGCCGTATGTGCAAGTAGACCTCCTGTTGCATCGTGCGTGGTAGTTGGAGGCCTTGATGTAGGCACAAGCATAGGGCGTTTCGAGGAGCCTAGGGCGTTGTTGCGCCCCTCGTGTGCGATACATAGAGGGTGCTTGAATTCAAGGTGCTTATTTTAGTCTGATTAAAAATAGTCTTTTTAAGAGGCTAAAGTTCCAAGCATTCGTGACTAAAGAAGGGCTAACTAATCTTGAGACTGAAAATTTTTAGTCAGGGTACCCCTACTAAGAGGGTGCTTGGATACGTTTTAGTCTTATGACTAAAACTTGCTAGCCTCATCCATGCTTGGATCCAAATACTAAAGATGCTAAAATCAATTTAATGAGCATTTATTATCCTTCAAACTCTCCAATTCCGAACTCACATATGTTAAAAAAGAGGAGTTAGGCTGGCCCCAATGCAGAGAACTTCAGCAAGAACTTCGGGTCCAACTCAGCAAAAATTCCTACGTGGCATTGATTAAATGAAGAGAGAGAGCTTTGGAGGAACTTAGCTAGTTCCGGTAACATAGCGCTGCATACGAGAAAAAATTAATGCTAATCGATCATGTGTGCGGGCGGCGAAGCAACCAAGAAAATCCCCACCCGTGTGACTTTCTCTTCCTCCACGGCTGGGCCTCATCCTTCTCCCTCCCTGCCGCCTTGGAGCTCCGGCGCCCCGCACTCCGTCTTGCCGGCCGGCGGCGGCTCTGGCAGGCGGCGCAAAGCCACCAGATTCATGGCCAAGTCCGGTGCCCGTAAGGACGCCGCGCAAGTCCGGCCATCGGCCACCTCACCGCCGCCGCAG